TAGAACAGTGTCCACCACCTACGGGTGCCCAACATGTGTTTCATGAATAAATGAATAAATGAGCATCCTCATCCCTTTGCCAAGAGCCAAAGTGGAACCCAGAGAGGGAAAATTGACCCAGACCCACACTTATGTGCAGGCAAGTCAAGATCATCTGGAGCTGTCTGATTCACTCCCCACTGCAAGCCGCCCCTCTACATCACGTACACATACCACCTGGGACTAGGGCAACATCACAATCCCTGATCAGACAAGGGCTCAGCAGGGATTAGCTGTCTATCAAGGCCTGTAACAGGTTGCACTGTATGTTCAATCGCACTGCTCTGCCCCAAAGCTGGTATTTAGTGAGCACTTGTCCAAGGTTTTATTCCAAAACATGCAAAGAGAAACCATTATTACTCCCACCTTATACATAAGGAAGCTGGGCTGAGGAAGGTCCTGCCACTTGCCCAAGGTCCTGACTAGCAGGGAGCCCAGGATAGCCTGCCTGCCAGGCCTACACACACATTTCCTCTTTGCCTTTTGTAAGACAGAGGACCAACACAAAGGGCAGGACCCAGGAATTCCAGAACCTCATGAAAAAAGAGCCATGTGAGGAGGGAAGAGCAGAGCATTCTCCTCACATTGTCTAAACCACACAGTTTGTACAGATGAGCTGGGCTGAGATGGCAGAGTTGCTTCATGGCCTGGCCAGGTGCCTGTGGGTAAAGGTGAGAAGGAGCTTTGGTGGTGTTAGAATGCACAAGAGTTCAAGCCTCAGCTTTTCTGAGAACCCATAGGGTACACAGATACCCTTAGATTCAAGGCTTAAGCAAAATGGCCCAAATCTACTGCCCACTGCCCACTCCCAACACACCATACCCCTTCTCTTCAGATGTACAGGCAGCTTTGCAATGCTCACACTCACTTTACACCTTGGTCCATACTGTACCCCCTGGAACACCTTTTCCACACCTCATGCAGCTCAATATGCTCACCTATTCAGCAGGTCCCTGAGCAAAACAACCTTAGCTTCACTTTAAGCCCTGCCATGAACAAGCAGACTCTACTAAGTGGAGACTCACCTACCCAGGGCCCACTGGACCTCAGGGAAGGCTGGAGGCCAGGCTTCCAATTTCCCCACACCCACGTTCCTTAGCCAAATGTCCATCAAGCCCCCATAAAGTCCCTACCCAGACATCATGCCCAGTTCAGACACCTCTTTCCATGGGCAAGATGGAACCACTGTACATCAATAACTCGAGCTCAGGGAGAAGCTCATCTGAGACTGAAGAGGTGCAGAAGTGGTACAAGCTCAGAGGAAAGATACACAGACCAGGGATATAAAGAGAGAGAAAGCAAGTAAAAGGGGGTCTGGGCGGGCACTGATGAGAAAGAGAGCAGGAAGATTCTTCAGGCGCTCAAGGACAGAGAGATGGACACCACAAGGGAAGAGGAATGGAGAATGTGGGTGGAGAGGAGTAATTCTGGACTAGGGCATAGGAAAGGGGGAGGTGGGAGGAGGAGACCTGGGTGGGCTTGCTCCTCCCAGGGCCTGCTCTCTGGTATAAGGAGGCTACTCTTGAGGCTGCTGTGAGGATAAGGATTGGTTGTAAAGTCCTGACTCCTACTGAAGGGCGAAAATGGATGCTGCAGGAGAAGCCTTTGATCACCAGATGAGCATGGCACCATCCTAGTCATGTGTCAGGGTTCTATAAATAACTGCCACTGCACCTTCCCTCCAGTAAGCATTTGCTCCCACATTCCGGGGCTTTCTGTCCAGTGACAGCCCTGGGCCCTCTCCCTCTCAGGGGGCCTCCCCACCAGACAAAATGCACACGCTCACCCACTCACCCCCACAGGGCCTTCTCCCTTACCATCAGCCCAGACCCCCAGCTCAAGGACAGCCTCCCTCATGGACAGTCTATGAGGACTTCTGGGCAGTGGACCTCAGCGGAGAGCAGGCCAGATTCCACCCCCGCCCCAGCTGTCCCTTCTCCCCAACCCCTCCCCTCCTCCAAGGGGCCAAGCCAGACAATCTCTAATCCTCTGTCATCTGACCCAGCTCCACCCTAAATTAGCTCTGCCTAGCCACCCTACTGAGGCCCAAAAATGGACCATGTCATTTATAGAGGATCCAAGAAGCAAAACACAATGGGAAGATGACCTCATGGCACCCTGAGCCTGAGCTCCAGGCATGCACTCTGCACCCCAGACACTCTGGGGGCACCTGGGAGCTGGAAGGTGAGCAGCAATGATGCCAAGCTGGCAGACCCTGGTGACTCTTCCCATATATTCTCATGTTCTCCTCACACCAGGCCCAGAGGCCACAGGACCTTACAACCATAGATCCAGGCAGAACAGAGCCACAAAAACCTTGCTCCCCACTGCTCCTGGGCTCAGCCTGGGCCCAGCTCAGGCACAGGACACATGCGCAGTCAGGATTTGCTTAATAAGGGAAGGCAAAGGAGCACACAGCACAAACCAGCTCACCCACAGGCCAGTTTAAGGGCTCCCAAGCCAAGCCTCCAAACATCCTTGTTTGTTCATCAACAGTCACTCAGCACCCACCCTGCCCCTTAGGAAGCACCCAGAGCAGTGGTAGATGCAGGCTGATCAATGGGTTGCCAAGCCAGGACCTATGGAGAGACACACTGAGCTGAGGGACCGGAGAGCTGGCTCCAAAGGCACCACAGAGCAAGCTTTCCTTGACCATACTGTCACCCTCTGAGTCCTGGTGGACTGAGCTACTGCTTGTCCCTGCCCTGGTCCGCCTGTGGCAACTGGACAACAGGAACCTCCATGTTACTCACTGATTTGACAAGTGAGACAAGGGCAGCGGTGCCTATGAGACCACTGACAATCTGAGTTTGAGGTGGTTCTGTCACCACCAGAAGGTGCTGGGAGGCAGCCAGATCATGGCACTCAGGCTGTGACAGACTCTGAGCTGCAGGAGGGAGAGCGGAGAGGTCCCGGGGTGTTAACACATCAGGATTTCCTGGAAAGGGGTACCCAGCTAGGCCAACAAGGAGAGGACAGAAGAAAGGCTACTTTCTGAGACTCTGTCAGGAAGCCTGTTGTGCTACTCTGGCTTCTGATGGGGGATGGTATGCTAACCATTGCCCACCCATGGCATTAAGCTGCTCCAGTCCCGGCTCAGGTAGGGCCAGCCATTGTGCAAGATCAGCATCCATAGCTGACCCGCTGTCAGCCAACTGCCTGTGGCCACAAAATGGGCTAAAGAGAGAAGGGCGGCAGCTCAGGGGAGTCAGTGATAACATTGCCACTTATATGGAGGGGACATAGCCCAGGCCTACTACCCATGAATTAATGAAAGATGTTTCTGCAGTGACAAGGAAACCACGGTAAAGGGGACACAGCAAGAGCAAAGGGGAACCAAGGAGTAGGACTTCAGTGGAGTGGAGACAGGGAACTTGGTTTCAGCTCTCTGCTTTCCATTCTTCTCCCTGGTCCCTTAAGAGCAGGAAGCTGGTTTAGGCCCAGAGCAGCCCCTCCAGGTACTGAGATGAATTACCCAGTCACAGAAAGGGAATGGGGCAGGAAGGGGTGGGGCGGGAAGGGCAGCAGCATCTGCCCTCTCCAACCAGGGAGACTGAAGACTTCCCAGCATCCACTAACAATCTTTGGGCTCTAATCCGTCCTCTAAACCTGGGAGGGTAAGGCGGGTAGGGAGGGCAGCTGGGGCAGGCCAGATCTGCAGCTTGGCTGAGGGCCCTCTCCTCCATCCACTGCCATCCATCTCCTCAGCCCAGGACTACCAGGATGAGAAGCAGGACTCTGAGGGAGGCTAGGGGAAGCTCTAGCCCGTGCACTCCCTCCATCACGTGGCTTCATCCTAAGGGAGCCCTCAGGTTCTAGCAGTGCAAAAATCATTGTTTATAAATAGCCGCAAGCCTTGCAAGGGAAAGCCAGCAGTCCCCGGTTTCCCACTTGGCTGCACATGTCGCGGGCGCGAGGCAGAACCTAAGGTGGGGAGGACAGGGGCCACCCCGGCAGAAGAATATACCCTGCAATCTCAGATTTCAGAGTCCGAGTGGGCAAGGGAAGTGGCGTCAGCAGCTGGCATTACACAATGTAATAAAGCAGAGGTGGCTTGGGGCAGAAGGCCGAGCGCGCAGGACCCCAGCCCCTAGTCCTGCATTTCCTGAACAGTCAGGGCGCCGCCAGAGAGCCAGGCTCCAGGCCCGGCCTGTGGCCAGTTGCTCTCAGCTCTAGGGCTCAGCTTTCCCGCGGTGCCCTCCTCGACCCTACGGCCCACCGCCCTCCTCCGAGTCCCGGCAGTGGGCCCCAAAAGCCGGGGCCGCCACCCCTCCTCGCCGCCGGAAACGCGAAGCCCCCAAGGGGTGCGAAGCCTTTCATTCCCCAGAGCTTCCAAGCCACAGGCACCCTCGAAAAAGGAAACCCAATCCTCCGGCAGCCAGCGGGGGAGAGGCGGGCGGGAGGAGGGCACAGCGGGCACTGGCGGCGCCCAGGGACCAGCCGCAAGCTACGGGCCCCGGGGCCGCAAGGCGGCCGAGGGGCAGCCTCGGGATTGCCGCAGCACTGCTACCCAAAAGACCAAGGCAGAGGGACCTCCCCTTGAGCTGGCGGCCCTCAGGACCCGTGGGGGCCTGGACTGCCAGGGGCGCCACCTCGTCCCAATTCTCCCGGCCCTCGGCCTCCAGGGTGAAGTTAGCCTGGACCTCAACGCACCGGAGGTCAGCGTGGGCAGCCACTTCTCCCCAGACGTGAGGCAAAACTACAAACGGTCCGGGAGGGAGGGTGGAAGGGGAGACAGCTGGGCTCTCTCCAGCCCGCCGAGGGGGTGGGGAAGACAGATGACGCGGACCGGAGAAGACAACCAGAGCTCCGGGAAGCTCAGCCCGTGGACCCCCGCAAGGCCTGCGGCAGCGGGGTCTTCCCGAGGTGACAGCGCTCGAACCCCGGTGAGGAGCAGCCCCTCGGGCAGAAGAGAGGCAGGTGGTCGGAACGGCGCAGTAGACGACTCTCGGCTAGCTCACCTTCTCCTGCGCGCGGGTGAGCTTCTTCTGCACATTACTGGCGATCTTCCCCGCCGTCACCCCCTTACTGCCCATCTCTGCCATTGCGCCTCGGGCCTAGCCCGGTGTCGGGCCCCGCGCTAAGCCCCGGCCGCAGGCTGCGGGCTCCGGTCCGGCTCCACGCCGCGCACTGGATAGCCTAGCCGACCGGCGGAGGCGGAGCGTGCGCCAGAGGAGCCAGCGAGAGAGCGAGCAAGGCGGGGACCGAGAGAGGGAGGGACGGACTCGGGTGGGGAGGGGGGAAGAGAGAAGGGGCTGGGCCTGCGGCTGCGATCAGCGCCCCCCGCCCGCCGTGCCGGACAGACACTGCCTTTTAAAGGACCTCTCAGCCGGCGGGGAGAGAGCAGCGCGCATGTGCGCTGGGCTTCCACAAGCGGGACAAATGTGACTACCGTGGGTCCCGCGCCGCCAAGGGCCGGGTTCTCCTCCCCAGTAGTCACCTCCGGCAGCCGAGGAAAGAAGGCCAGATGGAATAGCAGGGTGCTTTCGAAAAGAAGATATAATGTGCGGTGATTGGTGCTCGATCCTGGAATCCGGGAGCCTCCTCCCCACCCACCTGTCTCCTTCCAAGGCTTCTGTGGCCCCGCACTCCATTCTCAGCCTCCTCCCGGCCTGCAGACTCACGGGTCTCCACCTGGGTTCTCTGATGCCTCCCGGGCATGTTCACATCTCTGTCCCAGACGCCTAGTCCCATGCCAACCAGGTGCTCAGTCTTCCAGTTTGCCAAGAAGTTATTTTATCATAATAACAACCTAACGTTAGTGAGCGCTCACCTAGGGCTTGCACTCTGCTAGGTGCCTCCTAGACAGGTATTATCTCGTCCAGTCTTCATAACAGCCCTGAGTTAGGTGCTATTATTAAAATGCACTCTAATATAATAATAGAAGTATTATTCTTATTTTACAAATGAGGTACAGAGTTCTGGAACCAGCTCTCTAATTCTCAGGCTTTCAACCACTATACCTTGGGAGTCTCCTCTTGCTTGCTGGAAGAAAAATGATTAATGATTAGTAGTCAAAGAGAAAATAAGGTTACTGCTAACCACCTTTGCCAAAAGACCAATGACACTTATTCAACATTAATAAATACAGGGTGGGGAAAAAGTAGGTTTACAGTTGTTCATATGGAAAATAATACAATAATTAATAAATAATACAAGAATAAACTGTTTCACATAGTCACAACTGTAAATCTACTTTTGCCCCACGCTGTATGTATCCCACTCACACTCCTCCCCCAAATCACATCAGGGCTGTGAAGGATGCCACAGCTCTTTGTCCACCCTGGAAGGTTTCTCAGGATCTGTGGGCTAAGTTGAATGCAGAGAGGTGTCCTGGAGGCCCTGCTGAGACTGACCACCTAGACATGTCCAATGTGTGGACAGGAGCCAGGGCAAGGGTCCCCAGGAGCAAGAAGGGCTCTTGAAGACCATAAGCCAGGCCGCCTTAAACAGGTGGAGAAATAGGCACAAGAATAAGAGCCATTCTCTCTTCCCTGTGATGCAGAGCCATTCTCTCTTCCCTGTGGCTGATAGTCCTCTGGTACTCTCTCTGGATACTCCTGGTTCCTCCCATCACTGCTCAGCACCTATAAGTGAGAATCTTAATCAGGCCTCCCTCCTGGCCAATTATTCCTATTTTACAGAAAGACAGACTGAGGCTCTGCAGCTGCTGAAGGTCATAACAGATGATCAGAGATTCAGACCCAGGCCCTCCTGCATTAAAGCCCTCAGTTGATACACTGAACTGCTTCCCAGAAAAAGTACCAAGCACTGCATGAATGGAAAGCTTTTTGTTAAAATCATTATTATAAGCTCATGCCTGATATGTGAGTCACAAAAACAAAACCTAAATAATGCAGCCTGAGTTTCAAGGCAGCTTTTTCTTAAAAGCTCAACACACTCTCACCTCTAGTCTCTCTCCTCCTCATTTTGTATTTGTCATTTTTCTAACCACTCTCTAAGAGCAATTTCTTCCAGCACTCCTCTGAAGAAAGGAGGAAATGAACAGAAGTCAAATCCTATTACAGTCAGCCCCAGGAACAGTGGGAGAGTCTGCTGCGCTACCGCTCTTTGGTATTTTGAAATATCACTTGACAAAAATTTAAAAAATGGAAGCAACTTTCTTGGTTTTCAGATTAGGGTCACCTATATGGCACAATAATTAGAGGGGCCATTAGAGGATCACTTTAAACAACAATTACAGAGATTATGTAGCAACATAAAAATAATGCTTGTGGCATACTTATGAGTGAAAGGGGAATATAAACTGTGCATGCATTATCCTTGCAACCACATTAAAAAAAAATGTAAATGCTCATGACCAAAGACCAAAAGAACCATGTACAAAGGAAATAGATATGTTACGGTCAAGGCATTATGGCTGATTTTTTTCTTTTAATTTCCTAAATATTCTGGAATATTCTCTAGTGGCTTCATAACTAAAAACACACACACACTGCTCTATTGTTAAGAAGATAATTCTGTATTTGATTTCTAGATTGGAAAGACTTTTCCAAGCACAAAAGCATTGGAAGATATATTGAAGTAAAAAATGCTAGTTTGGTATTACATAAAAATTAAAATTTTTTAAAGTTCAAGAAATACCATCAACACATAGGGTAAAAGTTTGGAAGGAAATGCTCCAGAAATGTCAAAATGTCAATACAAGTCCAAAGGTAGGAATGTAGGAGATTTTTACTTTCTTCTGTGTGATTTTTCTATAGTGTTCTTTTGTTTGGTTGGTTGGTTGGTTTTGTTTTGTTTTGTTTTTTACCATTGTAGCCCATTGTCTTTACTATTGGGATTAAAAAAAGAAAAAAAGCTATTTCCATTTTGAAAAGAAATTTGGCATAAAAAATTTAAAGTATAAGAAACTAGGGAAATATTTTTGAAAATAAAATAGAACTCTTACAATTCATAAGGAAAACATTAAGATTTCACTTATTTAAATTGGTGGGTGGATGGTACAAATGGACAATTCTCAAAACTGGAGATGCAAGTGATCAATAAGTAGATTTTTAAAATTCAGTTTTACCAGGAAAAAAAGTTAAATCAATGAGATACCATTCCTGACCCCACTTTCATCAAATCAACAAAATCATTTTTTAAATTATGTTACTTAAAACCAGAAACAGACACTCTCACATACTGCTTCTGAGAGTGTAACTGATATAGAATTCTGAAAAGCAATTTTGCAATATGTATTAAGAATCATCAAAATATCCATATTCTTCAGCCCTAGAATCTCAAGTCTAAGACAAAATTCAAAATTTTAGCAAAGTTTTAATAACACAGATTTTCATCAGATTTATTATAATTGTAAAAAATTGGAAACATATGAGTGTGAGCTGTTGTTGCCATTCATGCTTGCTCACTCCCTTAGTCTGCGAACATGTCTGAGCACCTACTAATTACCAGCCCTAGGCTCACTGCAGAAACAGCGATGGGTTCAATGAAGCCCCTTCCAGAGATACATCCCTGTGTAGGGAGGGGACCAGAGGCTCTTTGAAGGGCCTGAAGTCAGTCAGGTCTCTAGGAAGACCTGAAGTCAGCATTGGCAGAACAGTGAGGGAGTCTGGTGCCTAGCAGATCCATTAAATGTTGAGGCCAGAAGAAATGACAGACAAATACCCAGTGCACTACTGGCCCCCCTTTCCTTCTGTCCCTTTAGCACTCCAGCCTCTGAATCCTGCGTGCCTCTAGCTCTCCACAGCAGAGACCCCTGGGCCCACCTGTCCAGCCCACCTCAGACATCAGCAAAAGGCCTATTACCACCTGTGATTAACTGAACTACAATATAAACATACATGAAATGTTTATCAAAACAATAATGCTTGTGGAGTTTCTTGAGATGATGATGTGCTGAGATGTGTTGTTAACATAATACAGGATATTAAGTTGCATAACAATATAGTGCTAACTACTATCCAAATGTGTTTGATATAGGGATCTCTAAGTGGAGCAATTTGGAGTGAGGGATTTTTTTCTCTTCTTTTTTATTTTCAAATTTTACATATGCATTATTTGTGTAATCAGAAAGAAATGCTATTAAAAAATACAAATATTGTTACTGAAATGAGGAAAATGTCCCCCAAGACTCTAGCTGGGCAACCACAATGTGGTGGAGTAGAAACAGAAAGCACAGGGAGGAGTATGTGTGCTGTGCCTGCACATCTGAACTGTGAAGTATGGGGAAGTGATTTTTCAAACCATGAAGAACTCAGACAAGCAAAGGGAAGCCCTCCCTTCCCATGGAAAGAAAAGAGCTCTATCCCATGTTTTTCTACTATTCTTCAAGAACTGATTAAGAGGCTCTGAACCAGCACTATGATTGTCATCATTATCATTCTATTTGACAGAGCAAGATTTTTTTGTTTATACTCTTAACTGTTAGAATAATCCCGTGTTCAACAGCAGTAGGACTTTTTGACATTCATTCATAGCTAAAGACTTGGAGCACACAGCCATCCCCCCTGCCCTGCCCCACGAAGGCACACAGCTGGTGGGTCCTGTGCTGACATCACTTAGCACCTTGCCAGCTCCAGCTTGGGAACAGACCTACTGCACACCTTGGTCTGGGTCCTTGGGCTTCATCTCTTAGACATAAAAGATCCAGAAGACTTTTACAGGCAGAACCAGAAAAGGATCTGTCTTTCTACAAGCATGATTTCAGGGCAGCATATGTGTGGAATGATGTCTAAGACTCGAATTATCATCATTCTCTCTCACATGTAAAATGCCACCATGATATTGTAGGAGAGGCACACCAACCCAAAGTCAAGTCGGCTCCTCCATTTACCACTTTTCCATCTTTGGTGACATTATTTAAATTGTTCCAGCCTCATCTTTAATATGGGGGAAGGGGTAAATAACACTCTTTAGATTACTATGCAAATAAAGAACAATATTCAGGTATAGAAAGCCTGTGGAATATTAAAAGTGACTGTGAATGGTGGCTATATAGTGGATGGCAAATGCTATAAATTTGGTCTGCCCTACTTGTCCTACTTTCCTTAGGAACTCCTTCCTTGTTTAATGTGATTTGAGGCAGCCTTGTTCTTTGTACCATGATATGAACATACCATGGGCAGGCCATTCACTGCAACCATAACAGTTGGCCCAAGGATAAACACATGATCCAAGCAGAGCGACTAAGAGCCTTTCCTGGATTTGTAGGAGTGTGTGCTCGTAGGACACAGAAGTTCCTCTT